TTATATCCCTGCTCTCTTAGCCATTCTCCAACAAAGAAAGGTAAAGAAATAAAGAAAGGATAAGAGTAGATGGTGGAGAAGAAAGGTATCACCACTTGTGGATCCAGCAATGAGATCTGATTATTGGTTAAAGTGATGGTCACAGTTTTGATATGCTGGGGATGGGGGCAGCCACACAATGTGAAGCTCAGTGGGTTCACAGACGTTCAGGTTAGGTGGGGGAAGTCTTGCACTATCTGATGCAACGCTGTGGAGCAAGTGCAGTCCTCTGGTGGAAGGCCCCAGAAATGGGTCTGGGGGTGCTAGTTCATTAGCCCTTCGAAGACATGAGAGCTGTTTCCCCTGCCAGTGTAGTTGAGCCAGTTATAACTTACCAGAGGGGATGAATACATTTCAGGCCTGCTGTGACTATCCTGATAACTCCCCCGGGTTGGGGGGTTTTGTACCTGAGCCAGTTGTGTAAGGGAGGAAACTAGCATGATAAGAAGCATTATCCCACCTGGCAAAACAGCTAACACCTCCTCTGCACATGGGCTGTTCTTAGACAGATCACAGGTTTTGCCACCACACACCCCAACTCTCTTCCTCCTGTTTGTTGGGGGGTGCAACATTAGCCCCAGCAAAGCATCTGCTTGTTTTGCAAATGGCTGATTGTCATTAACCTTTAACATTTCAGTCACACAAGTGTTCTTTGTACTGTTCACAGAACTTAGATTTGACCTACCAGCATCATACAAGTTTCATAAGAAGAAATCAGTAAGTATAAAACCTAACATAACTGATAAATGCTCTATTTTTAGGGCGAGATGTACTGGATGTGAAATGCTCACAGCACTTGAGAGTTCACTCAGAGTATCAAGTTCCATTGCTGTTACATTTTGTAGCGGAACAGGGAAAAGAATTATTGTAATGCCAGTGAAACAAAAACAAAGATTAAAGCCAGCACTGCAACTAGCTGTGACAAAGCTAAGGGTACCTTCTCAGCTCAGCTCTAATAGCTGTCTGCTTGATTCTGTCTGCAACTGGGACTCAGACTGAAGTCAGTGCTGAAGGCCAGAGTTAACTAGGAGGTTACAGCTGGCGCATTGTTTCAGTGCTCTGTGCTCTCTACTCCAAATAGCTACAGCCAGTGAAATCACTCACAGAACCCTTGAGGGGAGCAGGAAGAAGCTGTGCACTTCATCCCACAAATGTCTAGTCAGGATACCAAAGTGTGAAAGCTTAAGCTCACAGGCAAGTTCTTGAGTACTGAATGCTGGCCTGGAAGACATGTCTCCCATCCATTACCATAGGATTGGAGTCTGTCCCTCATCTTTGGTACTCACAGTAACCAGGCTTCAGGAGTAAGTGGGTTTAAGTTCTGAATTTATTGCCAGCTGCTATTCAACATAACCACAAGATTACAAAGTCCAGAACCTTTTACATTTGAATGAGATGCCAGAAAAATGGAGAGGATCATACAGTATAAACAAAGCTATAAATATAAAAGTTTCCCAGGGTTGCATGTTAGGAGTAAGCATGCTGCTTAAACAAAAAGCAAGGCTGTAACCCAACAAAATGAAGCTTTTTCTCTAATCGTAGGTTGACATTGAAGTGGATTTCATTAGACTTTCTGCCAAGAAACCAATGAACTGAGGCACATCTTTACAACCTATTGAAAATGGAACAATAAAAACTGTAACCTTTTTATGTTTTTAGTATTACTGATTGCCATCTCCATTTTCTGTTTTCAGTTGTTTTGGTGCGGGTTCCTCCTTTTCCATTTCCTCTCGTGGTCTCTTCTTGGGACTTGCTGATTCTGCAAGATTGAATATGTGGTCAGTTTAGGGTTTAGGAAAGCATTACCTGGAATCTTCTGAAAAAAACAACCATTCCTACCCTGTAAGTTCAAGGATGAGTCCTAGTTGATCTACAGCCACTGCTACACTAAAGGATTTGCTTATTACTGTGATTTAAGCTTCTAGATGTTGAGGTTGAGTAGGTGTCACTTTGTTTTGCTCAGGCAGATGTTATGTCCAATGAACAGAGCCTTAGCAATTCCTCTTCTCCAAGCTAAGTATTGACAGGCAGAACTATCTTGTCTTATATCCTCAAGGAAAAAACACCACTCAAGAGACAGGTTCTGTGCAGTTGTGTCATGTTGCTGACAGCAACCATCTTTCAATGCAGAATGCTTTGAACAGCCTTACCTACCTCGTAGTTATATCAGTATGCTTTTTGGACAGTTCTGGAAGGAATCAAGCACAAGACCCTTAAAGTTACTCTACTGATACTGACAAGAGGACACAAATACTACAATGCAGGGCCAAATCTGCAACACTTGTAAGAAACACGAGTCCTTCTCCAGAAAGCAGCTCCATGCACTAAAGAAGCTGCATCCAGTGCTCAGAATGACATACCTGTTTTAGTATCATCTTCACCACCTTCTTCTTCATTCTCAAACTTAATTTTCTTGCCCTGAAACTGTATTTTTCCTTTTTGTGCACCTTGAATTACCTTTCCCCCTCTTCCTTTTCCTTTAATTTTGCGCCCTGTGGAGATACAAAATCAGGAACTTTGTATCATTTGTCTTTAACTGGCAAGCTCAAAGGAATGCTTTACAGTTAGTCAGTGTGTAGTATATATTCACTGCTTAGACTGAATTTCACACACTAGGACATTATAAAGGCTTAAATTAATTAAAGAAGGACCTTTTGTTTTCTGTTTCAGCAATTCTTGCTGATCTTCCAGTATTTTTTTCAGAGCTTCTTTCTCTGCATCTCCTTCTAGCACTTCCCATACAACATCCTTGTTCCGAAGCTGTAAGTTTCCATTATGTGCTGCTTTGGCTTTTTCCAGAGCTTCTTTGGCAATATCCTTAAATAGGATAATTCCCTTAAAAAGAAGAGTGGCATTTGCGTATGTTTTTGTCTTACGATTAATAACTTGTCTCTTATGATTACATAAGAGAACAAGCATTTAATCATTCATTTTTCAACTTCAATACAAAGATCTTAAGTCCTTGCTAATATTTTACTGACCTCCTTTGCACCTCTGACAAAGTGTATCCACTTGATTTCTCCGTGACCAGAAAATACATCGTGGAGATCTTCTCTGCATGTCTGATCATCCAGATCACCAGAAAACTTCAAAAGGCATCCTGTCTTTTCTTCCAGGGACTTCTAAATGAAATTTATAAAAACCCCACATTTTCATTTAAGAGTTTGAATATTCATATTCCCCCCCCAATCTTGAGACTATTAAAACTTGACAGTGATAAATCAGCAACTGAAGTTACAGTAACTCAAGCATTTTTGCTACTTAGCTTTGTTATGCTGATGTCCAAATCTTGCACTGTGTGTCCTCCCTCCTTTTTTCCTGTTTTAAATTTTCTTTGCTCATTATGATACACTTACGTGGAACTTAGGACTCCTTTCCCATAGGAGAGGTACACTCTTTAAATTCTACAAAACAGTTTTCTGAAGGCTGATACCTCAGGCTGAAAATCTATATAATAAAATCCTCAATGGATCCCTTAAATGCCACAGAAGAGCAGACATCTCAATGGTGCATTCAGGATCACTTCTGAACACACAAACACGCCTAATCATTTAAATTCAGGACATGAGCCTTTAAACAAGATTAGTCTACTGAAAATAAGATTGAAAACCATGAAAAAACAAAGTCCTACTGTAGGTTAGTTGAAAAAGCTAAAGTAACTTTCTACAAAGTGCTCTATGAAACAGTATTTTAAACTCTGAATCCCACATTAGCTTTACAAAATGTAGGTGCAAGAACATGTATGTGGATTGAAAAAAAAAGCAAGCATTCCATGGTTTTCAGGTATAAAGATTTAAGAAACCCATACCATTTCAGCATCTGCTGCTTGTTTCTGTTTTTCTTCTTTTTCCCTGTAGAAAAAAGTTACATTAGTTATGAGTCAGTTCAAGTGTGGTCAGGCGAGCAAAACCAGGCACTTCAATGGATAATGACTTACTGCTTAGCTCTTGCTTTTGCTTCTACTTTGTTTTGCCTCCGTTCTTCATTCTTCTTTGTACAATACTCCTCCCTTCAACAAAATAGAAGCTAAGTTAATATAAAGTATTCTATTATAATCACTTTATAAGACAGCAGTAGACAAGAGACAGCCAAGTTTATTATTACAAGTTGAGATGCTCATCTCCAAAAGGTACAGCTATCAATACCTGCACAGCAGTGTAGAAACTTAATACTTCTCAAGTCAAGCCAGGTTCTTGGCTAAATCCACCCCTGACCCCCTTAGTGTTATATATCTGTTAAGAGGACTTACTTGAAAAGTACTATCAGCTCTGTGTCTTTGTACTTTTGATTTGGTATCTCTGTGAACTTCTTAGCAGATTCAACACTATCAAAAACTGCAAATATTGATCCCTGTTAAATGGTAAGAGACATTCAGTGTTAAAGTAATTGAACAGCAGTTGCCCAGGGGGATCCCTGCTCCAGGTGTAAATGTCCACGGCTAGAGCTACCTTAAATGTTCTCTGCAGTGTTCTTCTCATTTGGATGTTTTCCACTGGACCTTTATCCTCAAGCCATTCTTTGATATCATCAAGAGTGGCATCTAGTGGAAAGCCTTTCTGCAAGACAGAAATTATAACCTGAGTACATTGCTAAGAGTCAGTTTGTGGTACATAAATGATCTAGTATGAGTTAATTCAACCTTTACTTAAACGGTTTTCAAAGTCATGCAAACAGCACAGAATAAAGGAAGAAATTTACTTACAACATACACAGATCTGTTTTTAATTGCAGCCTTATACTGGTCATTTAATTCAGGAAGGGGTTTATTTGGAGATCTTCTGATTTTAGTTTTGTCTTCATTAATTTCCATTAAACCAGTCTTGGATTTTCTTAGTGCTTCTACAATAACACTAAAATCTTTGGAAAGGCGACTTAACCTATGGAGTAAGCAGACACATAATTACAACTATACAGGCAAAGCTGTGGCCAGATGGTAAAACAGCAACAGGAATTGTACATGCACACCAGGAACATTTAGCTCCAAGTAGAAGTTAAGTAGCTCAAAGTTACTCTTCTATACACATTACTTGCACTTTGTTTTACCTGTTGAATTTGATCATTACTTCTAAAGGCACCCAGCCATCATCTAGTTTGATCTGTTCCTTTAGGAACTTGTCTCTTGGTAAATTGTGATTGCCAAAATAGTACTGCAAAAGAGAAGGGGAGGAAGGGAAAAGAGATTTGTCTTTAAACATTCAGTCTTAAAAGCTCCTTTTCATCTCACACCTTACTGCAGTAGGTTGAGACATACCAAAATTACTTAATCTGAACAATTAGGAACTGTGAAACTATTGCTTCCTGCTTTAAAGTGATGCTTTGCCAAAAGCTTACAAAACATGTAAGCTGTAAAAAGCAAAACAAAACCAAAAAGGCCCCCAGCAAACCAGTGCTTCATCTGATGGGACTAATGAGGCAGACTGCAATTTTGTTTAGGAAAGGGGTGAAACTTATTCTGTTAACATCTAAGTACTCATCACCCTGATCAAGCTCTGCAGAGTCAAAAATCGAATTTGTCACAACAGATTTGGGGTTTACTCCTTATTTGGAGAGTGTATAAGCAAGAATATTTTATTTGCCACACTGAGAAATCATACACAGACTAGAATTTCTAGGACTCACTCAAGAAAATATCGTAAGATAAAAACAACTGTTATTTTAAATTTTTGGGATTTTTTATTGAATTACTATGTTCTTATTTTGATCTTTCCATCATGAGAAGACAATTCAGTACAAGAAAGACAAGTTAATCAGATTCATTTTCTTGCTAGCAGTCATCTAACTAGAGTCAAATACTTGAAGCCACAGGATAAGCTGGAATGTTTCCACCACTACCACAGTGCAAGTTTCACAACAATACCTCAAACTCATTTCACCAAAAGTCTAGTTCTGTCAAATGTTTTTCCTCAATCTCTGGGTTTTGTTTGTTTGTTATATACAGAAATAATAGCTCCATATGGTAAGGGGCATTGATGTGCAGCTGTATTTTTGTTCTTCAGGAAAATGGTTTTGTTGTCGGGTAACCCTCCAAACCTCTAGACAGAGAAACAGTGAATCCAAAGTAGGCATGTAAGTTTAATTGTAATTTGTAGCAATGAGCTACAAAGTAGCACATTGCATAACTTGCTGTTACAATTTATTAATACTTGGCCCATCACAGATTCCAGAGTAGCAGTATTTTAAAAACATTAATAAGGTATATAGAATTCCTATCTGCATAGACAGAATAACCCCAGCAAACATGGCAATAAATTGTTTAATGATTCCTTCACTTGCTGTAGCACCTAAAATTCTAGCAAGTTAAACCTTTTCTGTTTTTAAATGGTGGTTTCACAAGCAACTCTAGACAAGTATAACTGTCAGCTTACACTGCAAGTATGATTATTTCAAAGCGTTAAATACTGTTGCAGACATTTTTCAATGAGCTGAAGATTCAGGTTGGGCTCCCCATAGAGTGAGCTTCCCATTAGCCAAGTCCTCAGTCCAGATCCCCAACTATAAATGGAGCTTACCTCAATTTGCTGACAGATTTTGCTTTCCAAGATAGACATGTTTTCACCATTGCCATTTTCAGCCATTTTCACCAGCTCTGTTGAAGAGAATACAGAGCAAAGACACTAAGTACTGAATAGTACTTTCTA